GGGATTCGAACCACGGACCTTCCGGTCAGTAAATTCGCGGTCACCTCGCCCCAGTTGGATCAGACCTCTTTGTTCCCCTTGCTAAGTTAGCTTTGCCTACATTTCCTATCGAAACTGGCCCTGCAGACTCTTCAGGAGAATTTCCACTGTTACCGATCTAAACACGTATCGACATTTGTCCTAGCTGGTATATACTATTATCAGTTTTAAGTGATCAACAAGAGTGACGGATAAATAGAGTAATATGGATCGTACCGACTAACGGCAACCGAGTAGATCTATTATCATGGAAAAATGTTCGGGGAGAGCAAGGAATGGAGCTATGCTCTCACACGCGCTCGAAACGAAACACCGAGCATAACCGACAGGACTGTCTGTCTTACCTTCTTCCGCGTGCGCTGGATACGATTTACCAGTTCCCTGGCTAACCTTTCCTCTTCCAATTCCGGGTCAGCAGTTGTATCCAGAATGACAAGCAACCCACGGGCATCCGAGGCCGTCTCGTAATGTTGCGTGACTGCAGGACCTGCTTTCACTTGTTCTGTTTTCGCCGCAACCTTGCCTTTCTTCTCACCTTCGGCGACTCCGCCTCCACTGGTGGTGTAGACCACAGACAACTCATCTTCACTGAGCACGTGACCACAAACTGTGATCGAACCGGTCTATACGAACAGACAGTAGGAGAAGTGAGAAAACGATGAGATTACATGCAGATTTCATTGTGCAAATTCGATGCTCACCCTTGATGACGATTCACTGAGAAACTGCCGGAAGTAGAATACGTACAACCTAATGACTAGAAGACCATACGGAATACTCATTTCAAGACTTCCAGAAAAAATATCCACACGCGATGAGCAATTATGAACCGATGGCTGGTGGTCACGGTTTTGATGCTACCCGTGTAACGGTGGACACTACTGATTGGGGTATGTGAGTAGTATTTTTTCTCGTAAATCCGATTCGCGTATCTTGAAAAGTGATATCTATCACGGAATTTGTGGAGTCGCATTTGCTTGCGTTCGAGCACCAGTCAATGAATATCCAGGGAAATTCAGGAAGACGCGTTCAAGGAGATGATGGATATTCAGTTTTGTGAACAAGATGCATATCAAAGTTTTGCTTCCCTGTTCAATAGTCTGTAACTGTTCACAACGAAGGCCTTCTTCCTTTCAACCATATCAAGATAGTGTGAACAAAGAATGACCGGAGTGTTTTAACGCACTGAGTAAGGATAAGACATAGGTATACGTATTGCACTACTCATGAGGTTGCTGAAAATTCTTCGACAGCCCACGACCGGGGCTCATCAGGTAGGCACAGTCCCCAAGTTTCCGTCAACCTTGTGTTCTACTTGAAACCATTGCAAACGAAGTTAGCAAAATACACTCATTCTCAAACAATTTAGTTGCCTGGGGACATCACAAACGAGCGATTCAGTTGGGCTCCAGGTGAATCTCTCGCAAAATCAAATGTACTTGCAAATAAGTGTATACGTCATAGGAATCTATGAAAAATCTCGGATCTCGCTTTGCATCCTTGTTTACAAACAGGAGGATACCAAATCATTGGCATCGGGTTCGATGCTACCCAAACTTGGTTTCTACTGCCGCTGCGAGCTGCGGCATGTATGATTGGTTGGCCCTAGTTGCAAACGGCTCGCATGCTCCGCCAATGTATCTTGCTTGGCCCATAGTTGTACATTTGGCGGCCAAAGGCACGGGAGCCCGTTTACGAGAAGTATCGGCCCCCACCGCATATTGTTGTAGCGTGGGTAGAAAGTATAGGCGTAGGCATATGCGTAGGACCGGCGATAACGTACTCAGAGTGACGTACCTGAACAAACTTTTCCAGTTCTGATGAAGGCATGTTTTTGACCGTCTCCACTACACTTTTGTAGTCTTGTTTCAAACGCGATCCGAGAACCCGGTGATTCAGTACGCCACGTAACTGCACACCATAGCGTTCTTTATCATCAGTGACGGTCAGAATACGGACGTTCAGTTCCTGAGGAGAATTAATGAGAACGGATGAGAATGGGAAGAAAAAACAACGGCAGTTCTCATTCTACGCATACAAAAACAAGACTTGTGGTTCACACGCCGATCATCCTGGCTTTCATCATCGGCCGTGACAAGACACAACCAACATTCAGTAGTAGGCGATGACAAGCCTCCCGTGATCTGAAAAATTGAAAGAGAATAGAATAGGCTACTTATTCAGGACTAGTTCGACTGCTACTCGGAATAACCTCGAAGTTTGCTCCAGATTCCATTCACAAGGACAACAAACGGCCAACTGCAAACTGAAGTTGATACAGGAAGGAAACGCATACAGACCAGATTCTGAACTGCTACAGCAACCATGCGAACTGTCACAAGCGGAGCTGTGTTCGAACCCTATTCACCTGGATGGAGACGCATTGAAACACAATAGAAGCGTAGAAAAAAGAAGAACGAAGATTCTACGAGACATTCCAAAAGATCGGCTGCCCGAGGATTTTCATATGGAGGTGTAACGCATTTGAAACTCGACTGTATCTGCTTGCACGTCTCTCATATGACCTTATACGTGCCTCTCCCTCTCTCCCCCTATTGCAGGTATCACGGACGAGCTACCGCGAGCCCCGGGCAGGAAAGAGTAACCCTCTTGTACATCCCCCTGATTGACGTTGACCTGACTTTGTGCCCCGACTTCCGGTTTCGGTTTAATACACGTGCGTTGTTGCCACACCCCGGTAGTTTTTCTGTGCCACCCGACCTGTGCGAATATGTGCTGTGTGTGCCGTGTGGATTCCGTAATACCAAACTCTATATCTGCACATTTCAGAACCGACGTGTGCCGTCGCTACATCCTCTCGAACGTCGAATACCGCTGACTTCCTGACTTCCCACGCTACAGAGGTGCTTACGAGATCACCACCAAGCTGATTCGTCAACACAACCAGAACAGAGGCTGCCGAATATCAGAAACATCACGGAGAAACATCTACGGCAACATGGAATCACAATCGCCTTCAAGCCTACAAACACGTTGAGACGAACTCTCTCGGAACCGAAGGGAAGGTTGGACGCACTGAAGAAGACTTAAGTGGTCTACACACTTGAGTGTAACGACTGCGACAAACACTACGTTGGCCAAACGGGAAGAAAACTTGCTACGAGAATACACGAGCACCAGCTTGCCAGCAGAAGACATGACCCAATGTCACTTGTCTCAACTCACGAAAACAGAGAAGGACACAAGTTCAATTGGGACGATGTTCAAATACTTGATCACGCAAGAACAAAACGGCAGCGAGAGTGGTACTCTACATAAAAATCGATCAATGAACAAATCGACATTGACCCAGTCCATTGGCCACTAAGGGCAAAAGAACTACACAATCAAGGGACTTTGAGGCACATGGGAAATCAAGAAAACTAACGACAACCAACGGAATAATTGGATCAAAGGAAGACAATCACTGAGAACGGAAGGCACTGAATCAACCAATCAAGGGAATAAATTCACACCACAAAGCAAGAAGAAAAACGGTCGAATCACAACAGAGCAAACACACACAAAACTGCCGAACTGAATGCACCCAAAGAAACAAACAGATACAGGAGATTGAGACCACGTCAGATTCACAGAAGACCAATCAAAATACGAAAAGACCGTTTCCGGAACTACCAGATACTGTTTAGAAGCTATATAGTCACGGGCAAAAGAGGAGAAATTCACCCACTCAATTCTGCACTGACGATGTCACCTCGACTGGTGATGAAACGTTCGCAATCCAACTTCAAAGTCAAGTTTGGCGAACAGACAAACAACCAAGCAGCGCACCCGAGCTACCTACATTCCACAACATTGTCAAATATAAAACGGTTTAGTTGTAACACCATTTCCGTGCCTAGTTGCCATGCCACCGGAAGAAACCACGATATTTGAGATCCTACCAGGTTGCTTAAGCCTGAACAGGAGCAGTGGAGATACCAGAGTTAGGTTCGAACCAAAGACCTTCCGAACGTCACGCCTTCACTACTGAGGTGCAATTGTGCACGAAGCCAACCACTGTTATGGAGATTTTTAAACTACTGTCGGGCAATCCTCTCACCGAATTGAAATTAATGCCCATTCCCGGCTGATGGAAGTATATAAAAGAGACTGTCCGCCACTGCGAAACGCAGTTATGTGGCTAAGAGCAGGTGTCAAATCAAAACCCGAGGCAACAGTGTTCCAAATCTCTGCAATGGCCAGAGCCCGGACATACCTCGACAATGTAGGCTTTCGCCGACTCAATCTGTTTACGTACGATCGGGTCAGACTGGATAACTATGGCTTCGTGTAGTGGAGCCTTCAGTGGTAAATTGACACGCGTCCGGATGATACGGCCCAATTCCACTGTGGCTTGCATCCAGGCAACTGTCTCCTCGATGTCAGTGAAGATCAACGCCTTGTTCGCTTGCGGAACGGGAAGGAAATGAACTGACTCTGGGGCTCCGGTCTGACGACAATAGCCAATGGGAAGACCAGCGTGATCTGAAACGAGATAAAGCAAGTTTTCATGGAACGAATCACGCGCCCCTCGCTTCCAAAAAAGGCAACAGTCGAATGGCAAAGACCTTCCGAATGTCACGCCTTCACTACTGAGGTGCAATTGTGCACGAAGCCAACCACTGTTATGGAGATTTTTAAACTACTGTCGGGCAATCCTCTCACCGAATTGAAATTAATGCCCATTCCCGGCTGATGGAAGTATATAAAAGAGACTGTCCGCCACTGCGAAACGCAGTTATGTGGCTAAGAGCAGGTGTCAAATCAAAACCCGAGGCAACAGGGTTCCAAATCTCTGCAATGGCCAGAGCCCGGACATACCTCGACAATGTAGGCTTTCGCCGACTCAATCTGTTTACGTACGATCGGGTCAGACTGGATAACTATGGCTTCGTGTAGTGGAGCCTTCAGTGGTAAATTGACACGCGTCCGGATGATACGGCCCAATTCCACTGTGGCTTGCATCCAGGCAACTGTCTCCTCGATGTCAGTGAAGATCAGCGCCTTGTTCGCTTGCGGAACGGGAAGGAAATGAACTGACTCTGGGGCTCCGGTCTGACGACAATAGCCAATGGGAAGACCAGCGTGATCTGAAACGAGATAAAGCAAGTTTTCATGGAACGAATCACGCGCCCCTCGCTTCCAAAAAAGGCAACAGTCGAATGGACAATCTTAGTCTATGCAATCATTATATTGTCTTTGATTCCTCGTCTAAGGTAAGTGACGCGTTTGTTCTCCACACAGAGGAATGCGCGAAACCATTGCACACCGTGCCACCTACCTTTAAGGTTCTCCTTGAAGTCAATCCGTGACCGTAAGCGCTGATACAGGAATTCCGTAATGAAGGGAGTGAACGGAGCGAGCAGACAAATCATTTGGAATAGGACGTGAATCAAGGTATGCAAAGCGGCACGCCAGTCATCTTCGTTCTTCGCTGCATCACCCTGGCGGAGGAAATAGAAGCTGCGTGTTATCAGTTTGAAAAAAAACACGTGTTAACCGCATTATCCCCGATATTCGTACTCGCAACAGGCAACCATTCAACTGTAGAAGAATTCTGACCCGTGTCCCCATTGGAAGAGGAAATCAAACTACTGGAGGTCTACCACTTAACGGTGATACGTTCTGCGGAGGAGTGTTGACGAACGACTCTTGTAGAGAGCTAGAAGATACATGATTAAGGATCCTAACAGAGCGAAGCTGTTAAACTGACAACGTTCGCACCAGGTAACGCGTTACTGTGGCTCGGTTGTTCAAATGCAACATGAGTTTGACTGGTTGAAACGTGAAAAAGATTGACAGACACTTCCAGAAGTTGAAGAAAAGGTAGGAAGAAGCGTAAATAAAGAATATGTACAACCAATGAGAAGTTGGAAGATACGTCAGAATACGTGAGGTAGATAGCAGTGGAGGAATGCTTGCCGAAATCGGGAATTCACAGAACGGAACACAGAGAACAATCCCTTGAATAGGATCGTAGGAACGATGCCCGATGTTGCCTAACTGGGAAGTCCTGATTGGCGGGTCAATCGATCGTCTCAACCGGGACAGTTACTGGGTCGTCGTTGGATGGGTCAGGCACACCAATCACATCGATCAACTGTGAACACGTTTTCCTGTTCAGACGTGAAAATTCATATACGTGCGTTGGTGCAATAGTGGTTACACGCTCGCCTCGCATGTCGTATGTCCGGGGTTCAAATCCCGGCACGGCCATTGGATATGCACTGCTGATGAGCTCTAATAAGAGCGAAACTCGAGTCCAGTACTTCCCTTTGGTGTGGACTCACCGGAATGATTACGCCAGAACAGGAACACAACCGTTCAAACGAGAGTAGTGTGACTCTGAACACGATGCCCAAAACCCTAAGGAGAATCTGTACGCGAGTTGTGAATAAGTCCGATATGGTTTCTAAAACAAGGGTTGAATCGTGAATTTCATTCTGAAGTGGCGGAAATCCTGGAGTTTACGAGTGTTTCTTACAATAAGCGGCAACATTCTTCTCGGATATTCAAGACCCCATTAAAGTTACTGTCGTGTACGCAATACGGGATAATTTGTCTTCTTAATCTGTACGGAAAGGGAGGTAGTGTAACATGAAACTTCGGTATAGAGCAAATCGATGTACCGTTCGGCAAAATCGATTAATCAACCCGAGCTTCACCGCCATGTAGATGTATTTCTACCAGATCCATGGTTTGTCAGTGTAAGTATAAACCATGAAATAAGACTACTGGATTGTCCAATGGTCATGAAGAAGAAAAAAGCGAGTATACGTTCATTACACTCATTTGTCGACGGATTTTCAGCAACCTTATGAGCAGCACATTACAAGGGAGAAAAAGAGCGTTCAGCTGTAACACCCTTCCGGTGTCTAGCTCCCATGAAAATCACAACTCACCTTCAAACGTCGCCGATTCATCCGAACATACCAATTAACTAGGTGATCGATGAATTTCACCAGCCGTGGGACGACCGTATAAAGTCTGTATTCTGTAATTTTTGGAAAGAAACGGAGATGTAAGTATGGTTGAGACTGATAAAAGTCCAGCCGGAGTAGCATTAGTGCACACAAAAGGATGAAGAGACAGGCAGTTGAAGAGCAATTCGATAAGCGTAGGGAATTCATGTGTGGCCAACACGTCCGCTTTCTTAGCACAACACAACGGTGAAAGTGAAAATTTTTGGCTACATTTTTTTGTAGATTATAACAAGTGACCCCTAAAATATCATGAAATTTCGGTTCTATCAGCCCAGTTCGATGGGAGCGATTGAACTGGTGCACTTCTCCGTCTGACAAGAAATGCCGAGAAAGGTTCTCAGATGAAAAGTACTGGTCAGCTAAACTACTCTCCAAATCCGACTAATAGTAATCAAGTGGTCCAAAACCACTCGCGTAGAATGGTTGGTTGGTCCTTGGAAAGAAAAACTAAACAGGCATGTGGGTCGATGCAGATGCACCCGTGACTCAATAAAACAATGGCGTATGGAAGCTGATGACGTAACAACATTAAGTGTCCACTTGTAAGGCCCCAGTATAAAAGCGTCTTATCCACCGATGTCTTCGAAGCATTGCCCGAATCTGGTGGGAACACAGGATCAGCAATTCTGAAGTACGTCGAATGGTGTTCGGGAGAAATAACTCACCCTCGATAGATGAACTGATCACAGTGTATCGGTTGCGCTGGCTTGGCCACGTTTGTTTATGCCAGTCGACCGATTTCCTCGAAGGGCTCTTTTAGCACAACCATGAGAAGAGTGGAAGAGAGCCAGAAGGGCCGAACAATGACTTGGCATGAAAGCCATTACCAGCAAACTCAGCTGCGCTGGTCACTGTCGTCTTCCTGGATGGGGACCCCGAGACGGGCCACATCAGACATGGCCCAGTCGCGCCCTCAATGGCGCTCGTGCATCCAAGCTATTGCCTTCAATGCATAGCTCCTTTTCCAACCCCCCACTTGACAGCCCACTGAAAGCGCTGGATTTATGCACCAATTTTACTATGGTAAAATAGGGAACACTTCCTTCGGGAGAGAGAGAGAGAGAGAGAGCAGCGATCCACATACCTCCGAATGGGTAACCTAAACCCGCGCTTGACTCAAAACTAGTGTGTTCCGATTGTGATTGGTTTTGGGTTTCAAATAAACAGCAGCGGACCTGCTAACTTGATCCAATGAAGCTTTTGTGTCAAAAGGGAAACGTTACCCATTTAAAAAAAAATACCGGCCGCTCACCAAGGCCTTCAAGAACCGCTGCAGAATTCAAAGAATCTTCCACATATGTGGTAAAACTTATTCGTTACAATCCGCCTGGTTAGGCCAGCCACTCCGTGTCACGGTTCTTGTAAACTACGATATTCGATAAACACTATGATGTCGGAACCTTCAGGCTAGGTCTTAACTTTAGGCTGAGCGTCATAAAAATCGTAGGTAAATCCCAATGGTGGTAAGTCCAAGTGCACACTTTCTACGGTGATATAAAACCACGTCACCTTCCTCGCACTGCATACTCAGAAAGAAAGAGTATTTCGAGAGCCACAGTCATCCAAAGAGCAACATTTTGTGTGATACTGACTGGTCAGATCCATAATAAAGTCGATTTCACATCCTGGTTATCGTAGGGCGTGAATATGCAACCATTCGGAGACGCAGATGGGCTATCGAAAAGTTACAGATTCGAAAAAGCAAACCAACGAGGACCGTAGGGAATTTGTCCGGAGACCAGCCGCCCCTAATAACCGATTATCACACCATTTGGACGGATGCGTCACGTGCAGGACACGGACCAAACGAAGGCACGTCCTGATTGGTCAGAATACCAGCCAATCCGGATCGAGCATCTTTGACTTGACGCTTTTCGGCCCCTGACGGAGATTCTAGCACGACCTTGTGGAACATCCTGTGATTACCCCATAAATACAGTCGTTTTAATTTTCCTTTGTCTTCATAAAGGGCTGTGTAGAGCTACCGTGCTTTTTGATATACCATAGTTGGGCGGAGCAGGAAGCCAAAAGACCGACACAGAGTTACACTGCCGTTCCGCAAGACAACAGAATTTTCCTCGGGAAACTGAATTTTTTCAACCGTGGGAGAACTCACTACCGACAGTGCTACGGAAGTAAGGACGACTTTCGTCAAGCATAGTTTACCTTGGAATATCCGAAAACGCAACATAGCCACTGAGCTCTTGTTGTGAAACGTCAACACTGTCAACACACGAGTGAGTTACAAAACAGTGGAAGACTCGAAGACGTGAGCAGCATGTTAGTGAAACACAATGCAACCGTCCAAATTTGGTTGTAACGGGAAAGTCAACTGAATCTCTCGTTCATATTCACCTTCAGCTGCCTGTTCTGCTCAAGGTCGCCTCATGTTGCAGTTGGGACGATATTCGAGATATCACAGTGTGGTCGTTTGCTTGTTCACTGAGCTGGGCAATTTGATTGCAAACGTTTCATCACCAATCTAGGTGACATCATCAGTGCGTTATTGGGGAGTGTAGTTGTGCGTAGCGGTGGCTTAGTGGTTGTGCTCCTCTATATCACAGTGTATCTAGACGGAGTTAAGTCTTTCGTTAAAACCAAATTAGCATTCGTGAGTGCAGATCCCAGCCTGGGTTCAACTAGAGCGTAAGGTGGACGGAGACTGAGCCTAATGAGCTGCAAGAACAAAGACGGTTGTAAGCTGTCAGAGTTTTCAGTCGCCTTATAAGTAGTATGTTCCGTCTATTCCCACTAAAATCAGACTGCTACTTTCCGGTGAAGAATTGTATCACCCTATGCTGTTCAAGAAACAATGGTTGTCACTATCAAAGTACACACATTTCCACTGCTGGAACAAACACGCAAACACCACAGTGTTGCACGCCTTTCGGCCCATGCCAACAAATAAGCAGATCGCCTGAGAACGGAAAAGAATTCACCTGAATTTGCACGCCATTCAGAATCTGCTCAAATCTACTGCCAAAATGGTGCACAAAAAACCTCCATGGTGCCTCAAACGAAGAACTGTGTAGTGCACGACCCACTTATTTAAAGAAAACGCATAACGGGTGGGGGGAGCAACTGAACTAACCTGCAAGTTCCGCATGTACAAACAGAATCAAGCTTTGCGTGAAGGACAGAATCCATCGATCCATAAAGTTATCTGTTTGAGGAACTGAGTCCGGAGTCACGGTGAACGCTTGTCCTGTGCTGCGTTCGTATGGCACGATGGAAGACTGGAGAGTAAAATAGAAATGACAAAAAAGATATGGTCCGGCTTTGGTCTATCAAACAGACATATTTGAATGGAAGGCAGATAAGGTTTACTCCAAGAAGGGGTTGCCACGCTAGGAGAAGAGCGTCACTGACAGGAAAAG